AGTGGTCAACGTGCAGCGTGGCGACATTCCCTCTGATGCCCCCATTGAGAGGCAGGCGGGTGAGCGTGCCAGGAGCTCCTGCTGGCGGCTGCCGCTGCTATCGCGAGCTGCTCCTGCCCTCTCTTTCCAGCTGGCTGCGCCTTAGGAACAGCCAGGCCCAAGCCGTGTCTGAGCTGATTCAAACGCCGCCTTTCCTTGACGTGTGCTGTGCAGAGGCGGTGGCGGGCCTGATGGCGGCTTTCATTGCTGCCAACCACCCGGCAACGGCGCCCGAGGTCTGTGAGCAGGCTGTGGACCAGCTGCTGGAGGCCACCCGCACCAGCTTCGAGCTGCTGACGCCCCTGTCGCTGGCTGCCGGCCGCGGCTCTCCCGCCGCCGTGCTGGCGGGGCAGGCCGTACAGACCGGCGAGGCGGCGGCCTATGCTTTTGGTAACGAGCGGCTGCCGCTGATGAATGCCATGCACGGCAGCCTGATGCACCCTGGAGAGCTGGCGGCAGCGGAGCGCTTTGCGCGCGACGTGCAGCAGCGCATGCTGGCGGCGGGGATGCCGGCCGGCGCCGCCGAAAGCGTGCGGGTGGCGGTGACTGTGCACCCTCAGCTGGAGCCCTTCATCTATTCCCAGCCCATGGTGTTCAAGACAGGTGCGTGTCTGCAGCGGCTGGCTGCGCATCCCGCAGCGCCTTGGGAGCAGTGAGCAGTGCAGCATGCCATGGCGCGCTGCGTGGCGGATCCAGCCACGCACAGAAGCGGTGCACCTGACTGCGGGCCTGGCTGCCGTGCCTGCCCCCTGCCCCCAGGCGACGAGTGGGTGGTGCACTGCACCGTGCACCCTCACTGGGACTACTACCAGCCGGGCATGGAGAGCATGCGCCAGCCCATGTCGCCTGTCTACTCCCTGAAGCTGAAGAAAGGAGAGGCGGTGGCGCGGGTGAGTCGGCAGTCCCATGGGAGTGTGCGGACAGGCCCTGTGCATGTGTGTGGCAGTGCCGCCGGCCGCGGGACATCCGCGGGGGGCGCCTGCCAGCTGGCGACCAGCAGAGTTGCTCCCTGACGCTGCTGTGCAGGCCATGGGGCTAGAGGGCGGCAGCGATGCTGTGGTGAGCGCCGCCGAGGCGAACGAGGCCACGCTGCAGCAGGCGCTGGCGGAGGCGCCGCCGCTGTTCCTGGAGACGTATCGCAAGCGCGGCAAGCAGCTGCGCTTCGCGCCCGACAGGCAAGCAGGAGCGGCCTGGCTGCTTGCAGGCATGCCTCCTTGTTGGTAGCGGGCCCCTAGCAGGCGCCTGCACCGCAGGGCTGTTGAGTCTCCAGTCCGAGACATGAGCTGCCCTTTGGGCGCCTGGGGTGCCCGCAGGGATGTGACCCCTGAGATGAAGACGCCACTGGACTGGATCAACGGGCCGCTCAAGTTCGAGCCGGCGCCAGGTGCGACTCCGGCAGCTTGGTGGCTGCCGCTGCCACTGCAGCACTGCTCACGTGACCAACTCAGCAAGCGCCTCGACGCTCCCGCATCCGCTTGCACCATGCTGCTGCACTGCCTTGTGTGCGCCTGCAGGCAGCGTGGCCACCCTGGAGGTCACCGCGCCCAGCCTGTCCACGCCCACCGGCCAGCTGCCAGCCTACGACCGCGGCCCAGGCCGCTTCTCGGGCAACCACTACATAAAATGCTTCAGCCCGGCCTGGATGCACGAGTGGATCGCCATAGAGGGGCTGCGCCGCTGAGGTCGCGCGTTGCAAGCACAGTTTGCCAGTTGCTCATTGTGTCGTGTTTATTCATTTGATCCGGAATGTTTATAAGATTTACCAATGGATTTGTGCTTAGCGCTGCTAGCAGTTATTTGCTGGACGAGGGCCCTGTAAAGCGTTGGCCAGAGCAGCCATGCGCTGGGTGCGCTGGGCGCCGGCGCCAGCGCCGCTCCGTCCGACCCACAAGCCACGCATCTTCGCCGTCCCATAGCGCATCCTAGATTTCCATGCTTGATATAGATCCACAATTGAGGATAGAAGGCCTGTGCTGAGCGGCGCAAGTGAAGATCCCACGCGGACAGCTTCCTCCTGTCGTGCCTTCCTCTCGCTCATCTCTCTCGCGTTCCACGATCGCACGGCACTGGGGTTGATCTCAGAGCTGCTGCAGAGGAGCGCGGGAGTGTGGCCCACTGGTCACCCCGTCACAACCCATCTCTTCTGCTGCTTGTTGGCACGCGCCCTCATGCCACCCGATTTGCTGTGCAACAGCCAGGGAGTGGCATTCTGACAGCTGACATCTCGCAGGCCGAGAGCTGGTCTCTGGGCGCCCAAGGTGGGGGCGCAGCGTCGCTATAGCAGGGCTTGCAGCGGCGTTTTGGGCCGCTGTTGGCCGACATCGGTTGCAGGGACGCTGCAGACCCCGTCCAAGGGCATGCCAGTCCAAGGGCATGACCATTGTCACCAGCCACCGCCTCGCCGCCGCCGCCGCCACTTCGCAGCCACTACTTACGAAGTATCCCCGCGTCCGCTTGATGTTGCACTCATCAAGCCATATCCCCAGCTCGCCAGCATGCCTGTCCCACCTCCTGGGGGCCCTGCAGGCGGCGGCGTGTCCTGGGGTCCCAACGTGGCCAGCGGCGACCAAGGCCGCATCCAGCCAGAGACCCAGCGCGAGGTCCTGCTCGACCACTATCACCAGCACACGGGTGGGTGCCGCCTGGGCTGAGCTTTCCGGTGGTGCAGCATACAGTGCGCAGCACATGAAGCTAGGAGCCTCGAGCCTCAGCTCAGCGGGTTGCCCACCAGGGTCCGTCCTGCCCCGCTGCCTGCAGAGCACTGCCCGCACTGCCTCAAAGCGCTGCGCGGGGTGCGCGCCGCCGGCGTCGGCCTGCTGGGAGCAGCGGGGGTCGCCTTCCTGGGACTGGCATACACGTGGGGGCACGGCGCGGCGGTGGCTGCGCCCGCCAGCCTGGCGCTGCTGGCCGGCCTGGCTGCCAGCCTGGCGCTGCGCTCCAAGGTGAAGGTCCTGGAGCAGGCCTTCATCTTCACCGACTGGCGCCACAGCGAGCATCACTGAGGGCCTTTGCCGCTGGCTGTGCCGTGGCAGCAGCCTGAGTTTGAGAAATGACACGGCCGACGAGCGTTCCTTCGTTGTTCAGTTAATGCCTGCTCTCTGCGCTGGAGTCTGGTAAATGGCAGAGTTTGAGAAGATATCGAATTCGGGGTGTCTCTCCGCTTCTGATACCGGGACTTGGCTCGCCCACCGCCTTTTCCGCCCTGAATCGCCGCCGCCCTTGCGCCGCCGCCGCCGCCGCCGTTTGTGGAGGGAGGGGCACAGGGCGCTGGCGCAGCACCACCATAGTCATGTGGAGGGGAGATGGTATTGAGTGTGCCCAGGCACAAGTTGGTGGCGTTTGCGCCCTGCCTTGTCACCTCCCGACTGCGCCCTGCCTTGTCATCTCCACGGCAGAAGACAGTTTGCTGCCTTCGATTCATTCCTGTCATCGATTCATCCCAGGCCTTCCATAGGCACCGCACAGCTCGCCTGCGGCGCCATGAAGGCTGCCTGGGCGCCAGCCACCCCTTCCCGCCCCCTTGCGTTCACACGAGCGCCCGGCGCCTCTGTCGCAACCGCAGCGTGTCGCCTGCAGGTGAAAGGATGGCGCAATGAGGCGGAGAGCTCGAGAAGTGGTGCCTTGCCGCCGCCGCCAGCGGGGCCGCCGCCTGCCTTGTGAAGGCCCTCCCATGCTGCAACAAGACCTGTTGATAGACATCCATCACCTGCTGCAGAAGGTGCTGCATTCAACAATGAATGTGGGCGGCCCTGCGTCCCTGTCCACCTCCAATGCCCGCCCGCCTGCAAGGTGACATAAACAGCGTTTCTGCGGCAGCAGCCGCATGCGCAGCACTAGATTTGCTGGCCTGCGACTGCCGGCGCTGCTGCGCTGCGACCCCTGCAGGCCGCGGCACATGCCAAAGGCAGAGGACGGCTCCGCCGCGTCCAGCACCTCTGCCCCTGCAGCAGATGCCGCGGCTGCGGACGTGATGGCTCGCATGGCAGCCTCCGACCCTGCGTTTACAGCTATCGTGGAGGTGCAGGAGGCCGCCCTGCATCTGGCCAGGGAGGGGTTGAGCCTGAGGGCCGTGCACCCCGGCCCGCCGCCTCCTGGGCTGCATGCCAGCGTCAGCGACGGCACCCTGCACATCGTCTCTGCCGACGGCGCCTCGGCGACGCAGGCAGCCGCCTTCCAGGGCGGCGGCCTGCGCTGGCTGTCGGCCTCCACCGTGGCCTCTGCCTCCCAGAGCTTTGCCGCCACCCGCCTGCTGGGCTTTGTGGGTGCCGGCAGCGAGGCGCCGCACCTCAGCCTGGGCCACAAGCTGGAGGGCGGCA